GGTTGGACTAGGCCACCCACCATGGTGGGGGGGGGGGCTGAGGTCCGCCAAGGAAGGAAGTAGAGGGGGTTTTTCAAGGGATCTGAACGCCCTGAGGCTGGATGCCTCGGCGAATTGTAGCATTCACAAGAACAGTAGTCAAAACAAGAACGCTGTAATGACAGTAGTAACACTTGAAGCTGCAAGCTCTAGAACCAAAACCCTACATCCTATACCATAGTGAAACCCATACCCAAACAGTAGTTTTATTCTGAAGTCTCGGCTCTGAAAGACCTCGGACCCTCCAAACCATTAGAATCTAACACGCAAACTCCTAGTTTCTCGCGGTAGTCTTCATTATCAACCTTGAGGCTCCCGTCTTGGATCCTGAATGAACAGCGTGCCATGATTCCCAAACTCCATAAAGGGGGATTATAGAGGGGAATACAGGGGACCATTATGGGGCTTATTTGGGGGATACTAGGACTTTAGATTATGAAATACCTAGATTGCGGCCCCAGTTCCTTATTGCAGGTTGTCAAAACTGTGGTCCTATTCTGGGGTCCGATTATAATAGGGTCCCTAATATGTACAGGGACCAGAATTGTTGCCAACTCTTCATGTAGCTGTGGTATGGCGCCTGCATGGTCCCCAGTCCTGCCCCTTTCTTTCCAAACTCCCTGAACTCTTAAAATCTAATCCGGCCCTAGACCCTACATATCTCTGCAACCCCTTCATAGGGACCTAAACCCTAAACCCTAAACCCTAACTCGCTGTCCACCATTGCTGGGCTCAAAGAGCCCTCGGGCTCCAGCTCAATGCAGTGAACGGAGTCAAGGAGGCAGTTGAGGCCAGCAAGCTTGCGTTTAGGGTTTAGGGTTTAGGGTTTAGGGGTTGGGTTTTAGGGTTTAGGGTTTAGGGTTTCGGATTTTGGGTTTAGGGTAGGGTTTTGGATTGAGGGTTTAGGGTTCTGGGTTTTGGGTTAAACACATCAGAACCCAATAGCTTGAGCTTCAGAGTGCGATGATGGGCTTTCTCAAACATCTGGGCCCCATTCGGGCGGGTGTACTGAAAAGCTAGCTACCGGTGGCTACTTGGGACATAGATTCCTCGCGGCATGACAAATGGCTCAGCTTTACTGCGTTGCTATTAAGGAACTTACATCCAGTTACTGTTACATGGAAACCCATACTATTTCCAATATATCCATATCATGGTAACTTAGTTTAAGTTCCTTAAGAGCAACCCAATTTAGGGTCCAGCGTTCCAAGTACTTGAGGCTTCAGGGTTGTTGCATAGTCAAAGCAGCTCCGAGCAACTTTCCCAAAGCTAGACCCCTGGGAGGATCTAAAAAATTAGATGGCCTGTTTAGACCCAATATATGCCGTATATAATCCCCATAAACTTTCCCATATTGTGCTAGGGGGATTGTTTCAGATCCCTTGAAAAGTCTAAGGGAAGGGGACCGCAACTTCTGAGGTGGCATTCCCTTAGCCAGTGTCCACGTGAGCTCTCTTCGCCCCAAAGCCTTGAGCTGCCATACTGAAGGTGCATATCCTGTAATGGTAGATGTGCACCTAGCCCTCCCTAAGGCCGAACCCTAAACCCTAAAGCCTAAGCCCTAAACCCTAACTCTTCAGCCCTAAACCCCAAATTTGCCTTAAGAGATGCATTTGCAAGCGACCTCAAGCAGTCAAAGCTCCCTCATGACATGAGTCCCACGCGGCATACTCAGGCTTTCCATGTTTGACAAAAGACAGTAGCCTTCATACGCCCCTTTTTTGAGCTTCCATGTTAGTTTGGGAAGGGCGCACCCCTAAACCCTAAGCCCTAAAGCCCAAACCCTTACAGAGTCCATATTTTGGGGCTTATAAGCCTCTTATAGAGTCCATATTTTGGGGCTTATGTGGCCCTTACACGCAAAACCCTTATTTGCTGCCCTTGTACCAAGATGATCATCATCAAGCAAGTCATCAGTATCAACCTCCTCCTCCCTCATGGACCAAGTTCATCCTAGAACTACTGACCGCAAAATCTTCGACAAGTTTCAGACTCCAATCCCCAACCCCAATCCTCAACTTCATACCCGAACCCTAAGCCCCTTAAACCTGGATATTTTTCTCAAAACATTTGTGATTCCTGTTATTTTTGTCGTAATAGGAATTAGCTGAAATCATGATTCCTACCAGGGTCCACGCAACTTAAGCCCTAAACCCCTGAAACCTTAAACCCGTAGTGGTTTAGGGTTTAGGGTCCCGAAACAGTCAACCTGGAGTCCTGACCACTCAGCCAAAGGGTCCAAAAGTTAGGGTTTAGGAGCTTAGGGTTTAGGGTTTAGGGGTTTAGGGTTTAGGGGTTTAGGGGTTTAGGGTTTAGGGGTTTAGGGTTTTGGGTTTCAGGCCGCCGCTAAAAGTCTTGAACATTGAGTCAAAAAGTATTCACCTCGAACTGACTGTTCAGCACCAAGCCGGAAACCCCGTTTTCCCCAAAGCCCCTAGCCCCCAAACCTGAAAAGCGTTACTCCTTACACCGCAGTCTCCTCAAACCGCAAGATGAACCGGTTTAGGGTTTAGGGTTTATGGTCTCCTGGCTTTCAGTTCATTCTCAATTTCTTTTTGACTTTGAGGGCCTAAAAGTTCAACCGGAAGTCTGAAACCCTTGCGCCCTAATCCCCCAATTGTTTTCTTTAACCCTCTATCCCAAACCCCATTCTGCCTGAACACCAAGGCCCTACCCTAGACCCTACACCCTAAACCTCCTAACCCCTAAACCTTAAACCCTAAGCCTAGAGCCTGAACTAAAGCCTTAAACCCTAAACCCTATAGTCCCCCAAAAGTAGATAGAATATGGCTTTGGGGGAGATTACAACAAGGACCCCAAATACACCATATTCTATCTACCTTTAACCCCGAAAGTTCCAGGCCATGCTCCGGCTTGGCCAGCTGGTCTTCCTTTTTAGCGTTTTGGGTGCGGGCCCCAGCTGTGTATTCTACATGAGATATAGGGTTTAGGGTTTAGAGATTAAGGTCGGGGTTTAGGGATCAGGATTTAGGGATTAGGGTTTACGGTTTAGGGTTTCGCGGTCTGAACTCCTTAAGCGGATACTAGGAGTTTAGACAACAGCTCACATGGTTTTAGGGTTCCACGATTTGGATTTTTTTTGACAGGGCTTAGGGTTCAGGGCTTCGGGCTTCGGGTTTTGGATTTAGGGTCTAGGGTTTCAGAAAATACTCATACCAATAACATTGAACACAAAGGCCCGCGGCGCCCCTCCCAAACAGATCTTTTTAACCTGTGACCTATATAGTCACCCGAACTCCTTCAAAGGGCATGTATAAGGTTTGGTGCGTGTTTCTTGAAACTCTTGTTGGGTGCTGGGTTAGATCAAGCCTATATGCCACAAATACGACGGTCTTTGTGGTGCCGTCCGCCAAAGGATCCCACAAAGTTGGCCAGCTGAATTCTTTACATTTCATACAGATTTCAAGCCCTAAGCCCTTAGCCCCAAATTTGGGGGCTTGGAGGCAATTAGTGGTGATCAGGCCAGGGCCCTAGTCCAAAGCCCCGAATGTTCAAGCTTTAGGTGTTACGGTCTGTGTAATGGGGGGGACCCCCACTTGGCAGGAAGAGGGGTAATCTAGCGGCTCAGAAAAATCGTCGAAGAAAGTTGTTGCCTGGTGGTTACCGGGTGGGGGTAGTGGAACTCAACCCTAAACCCTTTACAACCATTTGTTCAGAGTGACCAGCTTCCGGAGAGCTTGGTGTCTGATTTCATGTTGTGAGGACGGGAAGCTTCTTTGGATTTTGTAGCTTGCTGGAAGAAGGCACGTATGATTTTGTCATCGCTTATTCAGTTCATGTTGCGGAGGATGTCATGGTGGGCCGCAATGAGGCTTTAGGGGATGGGTTTAGACTATGGGCTTGCATGTGCTTGGCATGACAGAATCATATTTTGTCGGATTCCAGCCATATTCAAAAGTACCAACCTTGAACCCCAAGCAAGCAGGTCGCAGGCTTCTTGCCAGCTTAGGCTTCCTGGCCAAATAAGTTCGGCATGCTTTTGACCTGAGACTTCATGGTCTGGGAGCGGAATTTCGCACGATTCGCTGTCCTGGATGCCTGAGTTGATATGGAGGTTTCCTTAAATTTTGGGTACCTTTTTGGGGGTCCCTATAATAAGGACTATAGTATGTTGGGGTCTGTATTGGGGTCCCATGAGTTGATTTTTCTACATCCTAAACCCTAAACCCTAAACCCGTTTCTTTTCAGGAAGGCCAGGAATGGCATTTCGGGAGGGCCTCGCAAGTTACTTCCAAGAAAGAGCTACACCTTAGCCGTAAAACCTATCACCGCAGGTCTTAAGCCCTCAAATCTTAGGGGGCCCCAATTTCAGATCTCCTTCACTTCAAATTTGAAGGTTCCAAATGCAAAATGCCCTGCCCCCCCCCCCCATTCCTGAGCAATTGTAGCAAGCCCCTACACCCTCGCTCCTAAAATCCTGACAAAACTCTAGCCCTTGAACCCAAAGCCTTGAGAGCCCAGGCGTGGAATGCATAGATCAGAATGGAGTGCGGCTAAAGCGCCAAGTTCAGACGGCGGGGGTTGGGTTTAGGATTTAGGATTTAGGGTTTAAGGTGCAGGATTTAGAGTTTAGGATTGTAGAGGGATTGGGGGGTACATTTGGGGTTTTGGGGGTTGAGAAGTGTATAGTCAAGCCACTCCCCCTGAAGTTTTGATTTGCGAGTCATCTTCCAAGGCAGACTTCCTACACGGGATGAGGCTTGGGATGTTTGATTAGTATTCTGGCTGGTGATGTGAGCCATAGTCTAAACTCCTCAAATGGGGTTATATAGGGGATTCGGGATTATATAGGGCACCATTATAGGAAATATTGCTGGGGATGCTAGGAGTTAAGCTTGTGGCTCACGTGAGTGACACACTTTGCCTTGATTTTCAGCTCAGGCTACGGAGTCGCTCAGAACATTCTGTGATCGCCAAGTCCTTCCTCGTCACTAACGGAAAACAAATATTTGCAATGAGTACGCATTTGCAGTGATAAAGGCCACATGTAGTAGCTTCCATTCTTTGCTTCGGCAAAGCCCAAAGCACAACTCCAAAACCCCAAGCCTAATCCATGAATCCTAAACCATCAAGGCAAAAGAAACTGACAATTACTGAAGACTCACATATCGTCAGCTTTGCAATTTGAAGAGTTCAAAAGCAAAAGAATGAGCCCCCAAACCAAACAATTGGAGTAAACCCTGCGCTCCCTTGACCCAGACTTTAAGCCCTAAACTTTAGACCTCATATACCCCCAGAACAAACTGACATATCCTTAGCCTGCCTGAAGGCCCAGTCCGCGCTGCGAAGCAGGCTGTTACAGCTTCTTGGACAATGTTACAGTTTGCATGAAAGAGTTTTTGGGTTTTAGGCTTTCAGGGTTTAGGGATCAGGGTTTGGGGTTAGCGGTATACTGTTTAAGGTCTTAGGGTTTCAGGGCTATTGATTGACCTAGCCCCAAGAGTGATCTATATGGTCTTTCTTCCAAGCGGGTTTATCTCGGGGCTTCTCGCATGTCTAGAGTACCCCTATGCGGATTCCAGGGGTACGGTGGGGTTTCTCGAGATGGTGTACGACAGCTCGCATCTTGCTTGACACGCGAGAAGACTTGCAATTCCATAGACTGGCATTCGATGATTTGCAACCTAAACACAGTCCTCAATCGACAAACGCCACTCCGTCATACTAGATCCCGAAACCCGTAAACTCAACGCCTAAACCCAAGTCCCACACGCTAGTCCGCATTTCCAAGCTCTATTCCCTAAACTCTAATATAGGGGCCTAAATATATTATGGCTCCATATTCCTTATATCTTTATGGTCCATGGTACCTCAAATGGACCTCAAAATTATGTTGGTAATTATTTAGGCCCATGTAGTAGCCTCAACATCCCTGCCTTTTGCAACCTTGCTTAGGTTGGATCCTGAGCAGCAGCAGGACGCTGTGGGCGTTGTGGGCAGCATTCTGCCATTCTGTTTGCGGGTAGGTGTGGGATGTGCTTAGGGTTTGAGGTTTAGGGTTTAGGGTTCAGGGGCAACCCTAAGCCCTAAACCCTAAAACACTGAAGTCCTAAAGCTTAAAGGCTTGGCATTCAAGATTCAGGGTTTAGGGTTTGGGTGTCGGGCTTCAGGAGATGAAAGGGCTCAGGTCGTTGACTGCTTAGGGCACAGTGTGGGATGCAGGTAGTCGGGCTCATGGGTCTGGTTACTTGGGGTTTAGGGGTTTAGGGTTTAGGGGCTTAGGGTTTAGGCTTCAGGGGTTTAGGGTTCAGGGATTTACGGGTTTAGGGTTTGTGGGTTTAGGGTTTATGGGTTTAGGATAGGGTTTAGGGGTTTAGCGTTTAGGGGATCTCAACATCAGGTCCCTCTTTGGGACCCTCTGGGCAGCGAGTTGCTCGTGGTTTTTTGAATAAAGGAATGGAATATACTGAGTATGATTGGGGTTATAGAGGGACTACTTTAGGGGACCCATTCCTCCATTCTCTAGTACCCACAGACAAATTTGGGGCGTTTGTGGGCCGTCAAGCCTTTGGCATCTGGATGCTGTTGAAGTGTGTGCGGGCGTAGCATCATCTGGGGCCCACGGGTTATCATGCTTTATTTATGTAGGGCTTAGTGTGCAGGGAAAGTATGCCCCAAAGAAGGATACGAACCCCAGTGTAATATCACTCTCAAGGTCATTGGGATTTAGCCTGCTATAATTGGAGCTAGTTGCTGCCTTAGCTCCCTGCATTCTCAGCTGGTCCGAAGCCCGCAGGCCCTGATCTCCTAAACACAACTAAAGCCATCAATCCTGAACTCTAAGCCTCATACTCCAATGCACTAACCTAAATCCTCAATCCAAGCCCTGGTATGCTAAAATCTGAGGCCGTAAGCGCGGCCTATCGAAGCAGCTCGCGAATGATCAACATCATGACAGCATTGTAGAGGCCAGAACCATATCAATCACCAAGTGACGACTCTTGAAACGGGTATGGTCCGTTAATGGATCCAAAATACTGAGAACCGCAGGGTACGGGATACGAAGGGTGGCGCAAGACTTCCTCCATTCACAAGCTGTGCTAAACGCATGAGCTCCCGAATTCTGAGAAAGCCCCTAAATCCTACCCTCCCCGGAACGAACATGGAAGCTGATATGGCTTAGGTTCAGAAGGACAGTATTCTTTGTAGGGTCCTTGTTAGCCTGAACCCTAAAACAGAAACCCCAAGACCCTAAACCCTAACCCTAAACCTTAAATACTCATGCGCGCTCGAGTTCGTTGAATTTCCAGGACCTGGCCATGGTGGTGCCGTACCTCAAAAAGGGGGACAAGGCTAAACCCTCGGGTTTAAGGTTCAAGGTTTGGGGTTTAGGGTTTAGAGTTTAAGGTCTAGGGTTGAAGGTCTTGGGATAGTATCCCCAATAACGGACACCCAAAGAAAAAGAAAATGGAAAATGACACGGATACTGGAGTCTTATAGTATTCTACGGGGGCCTTCGTTTGGGGTTTCGATGCTTTAGGAATTAAGGTTTAGATGGGTTTAAGATGCAGGATCGAGGGTCTAGGGTCTAGGATGAAGGATTGAGGGTCTAGGATTCAGGGTTTAGGATTTATGCTTTAGGATTCAGGTTTGGGATTTAGAAGCTAGAGTTCTGGGCTAAACCCTAAACCCTAAACCCCTTAGTTAGCAGCCCCAAGCTGGGCACTTTGATATCTTAAGGCTTTAGGTGGCGAGGTTGGGGCTTTGGTTTATTGAGCGTTATTTGGTGGCCCTCATTGGAAGTCGCAGGACCCGAAACTCAGGGTTTAGGAGCTAGATCTGGGGTTTAATGTTAGGCAGTTGACTTGAGACTAAACTTGGTGGCACAAGCAGCAAACCCTCATCGCGGACGAGGGCCTTCGCGTGAAGATGTGCATCTAAGGTACGTTAGATGTGTCATCAAGGCCCTTAACTCTCCCTCCGCCAATAACATGGAATCCCAAGAGGCGCCGTTAGTAAACCGCTGTCTGTTACAAAAGGGGCTTATGTGAGGTTCCTTGCTAGTTTTGGGGGGGATTTTGGGGGGGATAGTGCCTGCGCCCTACCCCCAAGGTCCGCCCTAAAGCAGTTTCAATCCTGCCGCAGTCCCTTCTCCTTTGGCTCGTGGTAGTTACAGGAAGAGCATTTTTGCTTGGTTCAACCACCGAAGCACCACGCATTTGGTAGTTTTCCGTTTTCGTGGCCATTCCCAAATCCCCATTTCCTGCATCCCTATATGGAGGGATGCTTTGTACAGAAATATGGACTTTCATTGGCTCGTATTATAACAAGGCACCATCTCCGAAACGAAACCAAGACTTTGACAATACCCAATATCCCTATATATTCCTATATGCCAAGAAATATCCTTATATGCCCCTAAAAGTCCTTACATATATATTTTTTTTTTTTTTTTTCTTATGTGACCCCCTGAGCGCCCATAAGCCCTAAACCCTAAACATTGCTAGGCAGCCTTCAAGAAAGGCCTCGGCACAATGGTGGCGGCCCTTGCGTTCTTGGGGGTCTAGAGGGAAGGTCTGGGTTTAGGGTTTGGGGTTTAGGGTTTGGGGTTTCGGGTTTAGGGTTTGAGGCTTAGGGTTTGTGGTTTAGGGTTTAGGGTTTGGGGTTTAGGGTTTAAGGATTTGGGGTGGAAGATGTGGATTCTCCTAAACTTATTGTAGAATGGGCCTCCTATCCGAATACATGTCCCTATATCATTTTCTCCATGTCTGGAAACCATAATTCAGGCGGGTCTTACATGAGAGCTTACCATCATAGACCCTAGATATAACTACCTCTGAAGGGGGAACCAGAATGTCCTGACAATACCTTTACATCTTTAGGGTCTCTTGGGGCCCCTCTTCGGGAAACTCCCATGATACGAGGACACATATGTAGAGATCTTGGTGACGCATTGCATGAGTAGATCTGATGTGGCTGAGAAAGGGATGTGGCCTATGACAATATGAGGGCTGCCATTGCGTGTTTTTTTTCGTGCAGGATAGGGGTGTTTGTGTGTATTCCAGGGCATTTCAGGCTAAACCCCAAAGGCCGCTCAGGATGTAGCCTGGTCCATTTTCATTTTTCATAGAGATGCCTATCACCGGCCCGTAAGGCCTTTCCGAACTCTCCAAAATTTCAGGGCGGCTTGGCCCACTGATTGGTCCACTGGATGCAGAGATTGTTGCGTAAGACGACCCACATGGGTAGCTTCCCAGAACAGGGTCGCATCTTGGGTCGCGAGAGGCTCGGTATAGTGCTCGGCCCAACAGAGACTGCAAATGTTTTGAGAGTGCCCGTGAAACTCCACGCATTCCAACATTTCTAGGTTTCTTCCCAGCACAGGCGTTCCAAAGCCCAACGCATCAGATCGCATCGCAGTGAAGTTGGAAAGCATGTTTTTGGTTGACTGTCATTAACACTCAACTTTAGAACCTGCTTGGAGGGTCAGGGGGACTTCGTAAGCAGGTGCGGAATTTGGATACTTGGGGTTATCATATGGCTTACAGGGGCTATCAACCTACTCAGTCCCCCCTGACCCTCCAAGTATAGCTCACAAAGGATCGGGAGGCTGAGCAGCACACTAATGAATTCCCCCGACACCCGTCGCCCAAACTATTCCTACAGCTTCATGTTCTTATGAATGCCCCCCTGTCATTGCCAGCCCTAGCGCTTCTTGAATGAGAAGCTCCTCTCATGGAAGGGTGAGGAGCAGAGCAAGGTTGGCCAACCCTAAACCTGTAAATCCTGAATATGTAGTAACCTCAATATAGGCCTATTGGAGTATGCTTGTTTGCATTTTTTCCCTACATAACCCCTACTTTCCCATCATCCCTACCTAGCCGAAAACCGCAGTTTCTACTTTCTTTCCATTGTCCCTTGAAACAAAGCCCTAAACCCTAAACTCTAATTTATACCCTAAACCCTAAACCCTGAACCCTAAACTCTAATCTATACCCTAAACCCTAAACCCTAAACTCTATGCCCTAAACCTTACGTCTTAGCTCGAAACCTGCTCTGAGGAGCAAGTTCCCGGCAGGATCCTAAAACGTGAAAAGACACACTCGCCCTCGCCTCCTATCCTAGAGGGGTAAGGAAAAGGTAGGGGTTATATGGGTAATTCCCCAAAGTTAGGGTCCCATTTTGGTACCCCTAAAACTTAGGTGCCGTCATATAATCTATAGCCAAAAGGGGTCCATAAGTTTGAGAACAACCCATGTAGGGACAATGGAAAAGAACATGGAAAGTACGGTTTAGCTTGTAGGGTTTAGGGTTCAGGGCAGGGCCTGGGCCTATGTAGGGATAAGGGTGAGGTAAAGGTTATATAGCAAAAATGGCAAAGAAGCAAAACATCACATTATGATTTAGGACTTAGTTTTAAAGCTTTGATTGTAGTATACCCCCAAGGAACTGTGACACATATTCTTTTCATTACAGTTCGATGTGGGTATGAGAGTCAGTCACCAAGGTACAGAACGGCGGCAATGAGCGAATCAAGCGCTGTCTCCAGGGTCTCTCAGACAAATTCAGATGGTAGTTTCCCTCAGTAAGGGGGCCCAATATCGACCCGAACTTTCTATACCCCTGAATATGGGGACCCGTAAGTTTAGGAAACCCCCAAATGATGTTTGGCAAAATTATTCTTCTTTCCTGGGCCGTCCTGACACGTCGGATGTCTCTCTTTGGGGTTTGAAGGGAACCCTAATCTTGAAAAGATCTCAGACTGTTTTTGCGTTGTTCACATTGCGGCTACGATGATCATGGTGATGATGGTGACGGGGACAATGCTCCTGATCATGGTGACATGCATGCCCTCCGTTTCCCAGGTGCGTCAACATTAACATGGACGTCCCTCAAGATAAAAGGAGGCTACTCAGAGATAGTTTTGGTGATGGCTGGAGGGCCAAATTGTAGAAGAGAGGTTACCGCATGTTACCGCCCCGATTGCCAACCCCCACCCCGCCCCGATCTCGAGGCCTCTCCGCCATCGGCTTCGATGCCTTGGAGATCCAAAACTGGATGACGCACGAGGGTGTCGCCACACCTCAGTGCCCTGGCCTATTCTGTTATTCTGTTGGGTTTAGGGTTAAGTGTTTAGGGTTGAGGTTAAGTGCTTGGGTTGAGGTATGAGGGTCATGGTTTAGGGCTTGCGGTTGGGGGATGACGGTTGAGGGTGTAAGGCTTGGGGTTCAGTGTTTAGGGTTTGGGCTTGGAGCTACCCTAAACTCTTAACCCCTGCGCTGACTGGAAGTCTTCGCTGCCATCGTTTTCATGTTGATAACTCTGAGAGTTGCCGGTCTATAACCACATGTTCCGGATTTCACAGAATAGTATGTTGATAGTATCCGGGTGATTCTTGTCTGGTGAATGTTCACGTTTTTCTTTTTCTCCGCTGTTGGTGTTGTTTGTTTAAAAGCTGGAGCGTCCTAGGAACTCCCTCAACACATGGTTTCAACCTACTGGGGTGTTGTTGAGGAGCTTGAATGCAGTTAACACATTATGGGTATGTAGTCCATTGTAGGGTTTCCTTTATTACAGTAACTTTGTTTAACTTGCCTAGCAGCAACCCAGTTTAAGTTTTAGGGGAGGGCCTCCGAGGGGCACGCCACAGGCACGGGCTACAGCTCGAGTCAGAGGGCCTAAGGCGTAAACCCTCAACCCATTCTTAATATATTGGGGATATATTGTGGATATTGTATACGGATCATGCAAGGTATATTGGGGTTATGTAGGCATAATGAGAAGGGCATAGAAACTAGTGTGAGTGCTAGTCTTGCGCCTAGATTTGCCACCACCGCTCCTACTGCCACTGCTTCTCCTGCTCTCGCATTCTTCAGATCATGACTTTGGTGGCCTTATGAAGTTCATAGTCTAGATGCAATCACAACACCCCAAACCCCAAACCCTAATGGTGGTTACCCGGGACAATGACAAGCACCCTTGTTTCAATTCCAATCGCGTGACGCCAAGAGATGCGCATGGTTGATGCCCGACATCTGAGAAACTCAGCGGCATCATCTCGGCTGCCATGGGTTCATGCAAATCATCAACGGCTTACTTAAATCTGCAAAGCTCCTTCCTTTCCTTGCTCACTGGTGTTAGCAAAAGGGTTATAAGAATACTAACAATATATGCGAAAATACTTGATCGTGATAACAGTGTTCATGCATCCTCTGGTGAACTTGAAGCCCAATCTTGAATTGAATCCTACACCTTGATCCGTTAACCCCTGAACCCCAAACTTTCAACAGCAGAACCCTTCAGTCCATGCACACTTCACACCAAAATCCTCAACCGTTCAACCCTTCAACCCCTAAACACCACCAGTTTCCATTCCATTTTCCATTAGCTTTTCCATTTGATTCTCCATTCTGGGCGGTAGTAGGCAATATCCCTAAACCCCATACAATCCATAAATAACCCTTGCATAACCCTTACATAACCCTTACATAACCCTTACATAACCCTTCCATAACCCTTCCATAGTCCTTACATAACTACGTAACCTTTAGTTTCGACTTGCCTTTCCATTCAGGTCAAAGATGGTGTCGCCTCCGCCTGCTTCGGCCCCGGCGCCGGGAGCTCGTTCTTTACAGGCTGCAAAGGAGGGTTTGGTAGTTTCCCAAAATAGGGAGACCCCAAAATAGACACCGAAATACTATAAACCTTGTTACAGGGACACCCAAAAAGGTAACCCTAATTTTGGAAAATCCCGTTTAGGGTCTAGGGGCTTAGGGTTTGGAGTGTTATACGAGCCTTGAAAAAGCACTCCGCAATCCCTCCAGCCTATGATCCCCTTGACACCCGTTTTATTCAAAAGCCATGGCATTCTTGGATTCAGTTGAAAGTTGCTCCTTTATTTCTCAATGCAAGCTGGCAACCCTAAACCCTAAACCCTCGGTCCTTGGGGTCATTAGTGGCCCTCCTGCGGCAACAAAATTCCACACTACGGCACACCTTGGCATGCTGAACAGAGGGGCTGTAGTCTAAACTCCTGAAAGGGGTTCTATAGGGGGTCATATAGGGGGCTGTTATAGGGGTACTAGGAGTTTGGACTATAGCTCAGATGTTCAGAAAACAAGTACCCGCAGGCCGCAATCTTTATGCACCCAACTTTATACACGAAACTTATACCCCAATCGCGAGTCCACAAATCCTAATGTACTAATCTGCAATGCCTAGTGATGAATCCAGAACCCTAGACCTTAAATCATGGGAGCTGAATCCCTACTCCCTAAGCTGGATAAATCCATGTGCGTAGCAACAAAGCAAGGTCGGCGACCGCAGTGCCGTGCTTTGGCTCCGGGAACGTATGTCGTTCATGGTTTACCCAGGGGTTGTGACTCTTCCATTTGGGGTTCTAGGAATTCCTCGGTTTGTTTGGTGTGGATTTGGGTTAGAGGCTTTGATTTAACGTTGTTTCTCAACATATTGGGGTTGGAGGGTATCAAGATTCATGGGTGTAGTCTCTAAGATTCAGCAGCATTTCAGGTTGCTGCGGTACTACATGGGGTGTTATTCGATTGTCAGCGCGGAATGGCAAAAGGTTCAAAGGGATCACGCATGCCTAGACCCAAATCAAACCTTAAACCCTAAACCCTGAACCCTACGCCCTAAACCCTAGAGGACTTTGAATGAGCCACTCAAGAAATGGGGCTCACAGGTCGATCATAACCCACAAAGCCTGCAAGCAAGGATGTCAATTGTTCTCTGAGGGGTTTAGGGTTTAGGGTTTGGGCTTAGCTGCAGGGCTTTGAGCGTTCCCTTGTGTGAAAGATAATGCGAGCCATCAGTCGAAGGTTCTAAGAGAACAAGAGGCGTTGGTATGGGATTTTTGAATATTCTCCCCACTCGGTTTCTTGCTAGGAGGTTTTGGGGTGTAGGGTTTTGGGGTTTTTAGAGTTTAGGGTTTTAGGGCTTCAGAGTTTCGGGTTAAGGGTGTAGGGTTTCCATAGAATTACTTTGAGGTAGAAGAAGCATAGATCCCAGCACCAAGACTACGGATGCATCGACACAGCAAGGACCCTGCATGATCAGGCTAGGGCTTGAGGAATATTAGAGGTGCTTGCTCCTCAAAGCTAACGAGATTCGTGAACAGCTTCCGCTAACTAAATCCTTTTTTTCCTTGTGCTTACCGTGCTTATATTTCCCCTCATATCATGGAGAGTGAAGATAAAATGTCAGCAGCCTCTGCTTTGAGGAAGCTTTTTATTTTTTCTCCTTTTCGCTCGGGTCAGAGGATGGATTTGCACATCAACCTTTTGGGTCAATCCCCTCCCCCAATTACAAAGCCCTCACCGCCCCGGAATGAGCATTCCCTGTAAAATGTACTGGTACTGCATTGGGGGGTTCATTGTACAGAGGGGGTCATTCCTCTTTTTTACTTGCAAGCACTGAAACTATTTGCTAACCCTAAACCCTGAACCCCAAACCCTAAACCCAAACCCTAAACCGTAAAAACCCTAAACCCTAAACCCTAAAAAACCCTAAACCCTAAACTCCAAACCCTAAACCCTGAACCCTAAACCCTAAACCCTAAACCCCAAACCCTGAATCTGAGTTTTGTGTCCAGGTCTGTGACCGCCGCGCTGCGCGCGCCGCCCAAGGCCCTTTCTGGTGGGGGTTTTGGATCTGGAGATTTAGGGTTTCGGATTTGGGGATTTAGGGTTTTGGATTTGGGGATTTAGGGTTTGGGATTTGGGGGTTTAGGGTTTTGGGCAGTTTAGGGGCCCCAAAAACCCCTACACATCCAAAACTGCGTATAAGCCCAAAAACTTGAACCCTTAAATTAGGGGTTCAGGATTTTGGGTTTATACGGAGTTTTGGATGTGTAGGGGTTTTTAGGGAGTTGGAGTTTTGGGGACCCTAGTAGCAAAGTTGTGGGCTTGCTGTTGCGGATTCGAAGCTCTGTGGTCTGGCAAGTTCCACAGGTCAAGGGCTTAGGGTTTAGGGTTCAGGGAAGAGTTTTCCATGGGAGTTGGGGTTCTTACATTGTCCCCGGTCTCCATTTCATGTTCCACTTGATTCTGCATTCCAGGGGTACCATACTTAGGGTTGAAACTACCAGGGTTTCGCCTCTGCAAACATGCGTCTAAGGAAGTTTTAGGTGGGTGGGTAATATTCCCCCATGTATGCATACCCCTTATATAATCCTAGTGCCCCCATATAAGCCGTATATAAGCCTTATGTAAGGGTGCCCACCTGGTAACTACCCACCTGAAAACTCCTTTAGATGCAGGTTTGAACTTGATTGCACCTGGCATGGGCAGCTTTTTCATCCCCAGAGGTCCGAATCAAAACCTTCTGTGCTGCAGATTGCCTGAAGGATCCAGCAAGTCGTGGTTAGCGGCCAGGGAGTGAAGTGGGAACCTTAAACCCTAAGCCGAATCTCCAAGTCAAACCTTGAAGACGGATTTGCTCAAACGTTTCCTATAGTATGCGTCATGGCGACCTCCGCAATATCGGTATAATCCCTGTAGTAAGGGTACTTTCTTGCATTTTGCCGCGCATCCATTTTTGGGATGGCAGGCTTTTTGTGACAAAGGGACAGTGGAGTCGACAGCCAGTGTTTTAGGGCTTCGGGGTTTAGGGTTTAGGTGTTTAGGGTAGGACTTTTGGGTTGAGAGCAGGTGGCTGTGGGGCCTGTGTTTTTGAAACACCACATTTTGTATGTTTTACGTATAGGATGACTTTCAAG